ACGAAATAGGGTGAATACATCTCATTACACTGATTTACTGGTAGTCTCGAAACCCTACTTTAATAGAATATTACAGCCCTCATGGATTAGAATAATCGTCGCTGGTGTATGGCATAATAATATCTGATGATGACTTTAATTAATCGCTTCGGCCAAGTGAAATCAGTTTAAATAGAAGTATTCGTATGAAAGTAGGGTTTCGAGACTACCAGTAAATCAGTGTAATAAGATGTATTCACCCTATTTCGTCTGAGGTGATGAAGGACTGGTAGAAGAAGAATTTTTCCATAATGATATGAGTTGAGCTGACGTTTCCATTAAATTTCACATAGCCTTGCTTTCCCAAAAGTTTTTCTCATACAGGCACCAGTGGACTGCAGTTTCGACCTCGCATCGGTCTTAGCAACACCCTCAGCGGGAGTCGTACCGCGACAGTGCAGGATGGAAGCTTGACACGCTAACCACTCGGCTGCCTCAATGTTGCTAATGTAATAATAATGTATTGTTGTTAATCGAATTATTAATTAGAGAGCTATCCCCTTACAATGTATTTCACGTAACCATGGCTGCCAATTACACATGCTCATTCAAGCTGCATTTTCGAGCTCACCAAGGCAAAGCATGAGAATCAACCTAGTTTGAGTTTTCACCTTAAATTTAGACAATTATGCCTTGTACAACTCAGCATTAGCCCCATTAGCATGTATGGTATTTAGAAAAGAGTTCTCTTCTCAACTGTGAAACGTATCGGTAGTTGAAAGCAGTCTACGCCTCTACCACTTTACTCCTGTTTGCTCTGAATAGATTAATTTCTCTAGACCCCCCTCCCCCCGCCAGAATATGTCACTGATTTTGAGGTAACTTTATAGCTCTGTCTAAAACAAATATTGTCAATACTCTTGTTTCCTATATGTAGGGAAATTATCATGCATTCTATAAACTCCGGACAAAGTGTGCTCATCAAGGTCTTCCTGCCAATATGACCAAGTTGCGAAAACAAGGTCAAACAACTTCTACACGACGAAAGGAGACCACAGGCATACAAAAGGTCACACCATCCTGGTCTTCATACTTTCGATCAAATTAATTTACTTCATACACAATGAAAGTTGTTTTATCACAATTCCTTAGTAGGCTCTGTGAATAAGCCTTTATCGCTATGTCCACTCAGCTAAGAAATTAATTTTAATCAATATTTATATATATAACTATTATCTGCTATTATATTTTTAGCTTAAGAACGTAATATAAAATATTAATCTTTCTCGTATCCTATTTAAGCCTGATATACTTAAGATGTGCTCAATTTGGACTTATACATTTTAAAGCAGGCGAAATTTCGCGGAAAATTTTGGCCATACTTCGTCAAATGGCATCTTCATAAAGTGTACCCTTGCGAATGGGTAATATTCTCACGTACTTATAGTCACTCATAAAAAATAATTACGTACACAGAGCGTCTCTACGACGTTGTACCAACCAAGTATTGGGCCCTTGGCATCAATTGTACCCCTGCCAACTAGATCACCATCTCGTATGCTCATCGTAAAAGGATCTGAGTTCCAAGATTCGCCGTCATCTGTAGAGCAAACATCGACGTGACCATAGATAAGTAAAGTTTTCTTAGTCACATCTTTGCCGATTTCTGCTAGCATTATATCTGTTGGAGGAATGGTGTCCACCGGAAGAAGAGGAAATTCATCACCTCCATAGAGGGGTTCTTTATCAGCTGCATGATAGGAAACATCGGCGCCAAGTCTGATTTAGGGATTAAAATAGTTTAATTTAAATCTAATATGTTCTGCCTTTGACATCTATATGAATAAATAAAATATGTACTATATATATGAATTTAAGTATGCTTGTCAAAGGGCAAATAAGATTAATCTATGTAAAAATACTGGATTTCGCATTAATTAAATGAATCAATTAATTTTAGCAATATATGAACCAAAGTGACTAAAACACATTTTATATATATGGTGATTGAAATTAAAATATAAAAGACAGGGGAATCAGAACTAGCCGGTTCCTCAGTTCTGGTCATTCTCAAGTTGTATCGGTTTTGATGGCTTCATATTGGATGGATAACGAAGAAGAGAATTGACTTATGCACTGAATTTCACTTCGTACTGTATCTCATTCAAGCTGAACAAAAGTGTCAATCCCACCCTCGACCGGCTCCAAACCGTGGGCATGTGGGTTATAAGACAAATATTTTACTTGAAAGTATGAAGACCAAGATGGTGTGGCCTTTTTTGTGGTCGCAGTCTCCTTCCGTTGTATAGAAGTT